ATCAACAGTTCTCACCGTTAATTTAACTGGCTTAGCTCCGATCATCGGACAGATAATTAATCCACTCCATGTCCGTCAGCATTCGGACAGTGCATGGTTTTTTGAAATGATTGATCGACCACATCCTTTTCGCGGTTCTGCATCGCTCTGCACTGAGAAAACCGCGAATCTGCGTATACTCTTCCCTGAGGAGTTAGGCTGTTGTTCCTCCAGGCGGCGGGAAAATTTGCCGTTCGACGAAGATCCTCATCTGGGATGGTGGGGAGGGGGTGGGGGCGCGAGACGGACAGGATTAAGTCCGCAAATAAGTTCTTTGAGAAGGATCAAGCCTCGTTCGAAGGAAAAGCGTTTCGGACAGAGGACCTGAGATTACCGCGCTAGGGATTCATTATCAGCGAATCTCCTTTCGCATCTGGTGCCCCTTCTGCTGCTTGGATGCGACTCACTGTGCACGTGAACATCCTGTGATATTTTTGAAATATTACTGTCCACGCACTGAAAAGTTGGTTTCATTACGATAAAATAAACAGTTTCTTTGGCAATTTTGCGTTGCGCTGAGGAAAAACTCGTTGCTCAAAGGAGAAACACTAAAGTATACTATGCACAAACACCTGAGACGACTATCTCTTTGGGAAATCGTAGGATTATTACGCTGAGCATATTAAAAACGGGTAAAATAAAATACACTCTAAAACGTAAAGTATGGTTACTTCAAAGACGAGTCGCGGAATCTTCCACGCTCCTACATTTTCCGCACTGGCTTTCTACAAGTGTTTTAACTTTTGCAACTTATCTCAATATCAATTTAATTTTTTTTTCTTTCAAGGAGAATTGAGGAAAAGTTACTGGAAGATTTGCTCCGATGGTCATTAAGAACACAAAGAATACGATCGAGTCCGTTGCCTCTCGAACATCGCGCTAAACCAAAATGCGCGATACACCTATACCAACTCCTGAGCCACTCATATCGAGTTGAAGGCGAACTTGATTGCTGACGGATGAAAGATGAAGGCTTTCTGCAACACTTTTAACGTTTGTAACTCATCTCAATGTCAATATTAATTTTTTTGTTTTCTTTCAGGAAAATGAGAGGAAAATTTACAGGAAGTTTTGCTGCGATGGTCAGTAAGAACACGAAGATTACGATTACTTGATATCCCTCGCCCCTTGAACATCGCGCTAAACCAGAACGTGTGATACAACTATACCAACTCCCGAGCCACTCAAATTGTATCCATCGAGTTGAAGGCGAACTTGATTGCTGACGGATGAAAGATGAAGGCTAATTTTTTTATTTGTTTGCTTCGAGACGCTCTTTTGATTTTCTTGTGGAAAGATGGCATTTTGCAAGAATAAGGACATTTTGAGGCTAATGTGACGACTGATTTTTGCTTTGAAGAATTATTTACACCCCTAAAAATTGTAAACCTCACATCCCGAAACAAAAGTCGACTTAACATTCTAAACTGAAAAAACGGAAGCAAAGAAAAACGAGACATCAACCATGCAACACTGTAAAGACCGAAAGTATATTTTTTATAAATAATGTAAAAAATCAGTCGGCAGTTATCGAGAGCAAAGTTGTTTAAAAAACGAACCGATTCGGGGTAAATTTTTAACATCGCGTGACCACAATAAAACGGCTTTTGCCGGAAGTTGCTTCTATTTTTCAGAATGCTAGTGGCGCTAATGACAACATACGCGGAGGAAAATATCCGTACGTACATAATCAAACACATGCACCGGTAGGACGGTAGCTATTGAAAGGGGTTGGAGGAGAGTGCACCAGTTTTCTGTGTTCCGCTCCATCATCATCATTAATTCCAACAATGTATCCGACGCCGAACCGTGCCCGATCATCCCCCAAGTTCAAAGTTCAAAGTTCTGATTTTTCACTCCACATCGCAACGCCGACAACTTTTATTCAGGTTTCTGCGGAAGCGTATTTTTGTTTTCGTTCGCTTTGCTGCTGAGACCCGCAGGTTTACTCTGAAACCTTTCGGAACGCCTCGCGCTGAAAACCGAGACAAAAAAGTAAAGTTATGGGATCCGATCGCATTCGAACACATGTTCCCGCAGAGTCTTTGCTTTTCACGAATCATTGTGAACTGCGGGGCTGAGAGTTGAGAGAGGTGTGCATTCCGAAAGGAAAGGTTTCTAAATGAAGCTTGACTCAGCGACTTTAATTAAATAGAGGGCCTCAAAGGAAATGTGGTCGGGTGCATGTGGTTGTGATTAATCGTGCTTTCGTCCTGAGCTTGACTTGGAAAACTTGGAGGGACCTGACCAATTTCACAGTCGATATAGTGTTGCTCCGTGCCCTTCGTCCACCATAGATAGCGTAGGTTGCGTCGAATAGCATCCTAAATTTGGTTTCTTTAGAATACTGAAACTGATGCTTTGAGACAATGGTAACATAAAAGCTCACGAGTAAAATTATATTTTGGTGTTTTTTGGAGATTAATGATATTTTTTGGAATTACTTTAAGCTGCATATTAGAATTTAATGTATACGAATTTGATTTTAATTGACTTTAATTAATTAATGTGGTGCATAAGCAACACCACTAATAGTAGTGAAGGCAACATATAATAATAGTACATATACCTTAGTTCTGGTATATATACCATACTATGGTACGAGCTACCACAGTATGGTTCACAGACCGATAATCATTAGTTCATATACAACTATGAATGGTGTTCCATATGATCCACTAATCGGTTTATAAGCCGTAGCTTTTTCAGTGTACTCGAAACTGGAAAATCTGCGGGAACTTAATTTAGGTAACATAGCGCGGCCAAAAGACGATGCTGAGCTAATCCTCAGAATAATATTAAATTTTAAAACGTTGTAAGTTTGGAAAAGGAATGCCGATATAAGGATTGATTTCCCCCTAGAAGAAGGCGACGCGGAACGCCGCATGAAGGGATGTCGGCAGGGCGTCGACGAAGAGATTCTAAGATGTCTGTTATACCCTACGACGTTTCGGAAGAGATAGGCAAATTAATTGACGCTTGGGTGTCCCAGAGCGCCAAAGCGCACAGAAAAGTCGATATTTATGTGTACACGATAGCTCGTGGATTTTTTTGAGAATTTTATTGAAAATAAAATGGCAGAAGAGAATGAAAAATGAGGACAAACCCGTAAAGAGAGTTCAAAACTGCACATGCGTACACCTAAGTTGACTAATTAAGTTTGAAAAGAAATGGGGGGGGGGCAGGGTTAGGAATGCAGCCAATATGCAATAAAAAGCGTGACATTATTTTGAAAGTGGCATTATCATTTTCACTACAGAAATGAAAAGCTTTTGATGCCGAGTTCGGCAATCCCATGATGAAAATGCGTGCACCTATGGTAATTCCGATCGTTGATCGCGACCGTGGAAGTGTTAAAAAAGTTAAAAGTCCCTTCAATGAAGAGGTATGCAACAAGCGCCGAGCAATCAATACCAATTGCACTCTTTCATAAACCCCCACTCATTGTATCCGATGATAATTACGGCTCTTGACGCCTTCTCTATGATCCTTGGAGCGGGGCAAATGGGAGCCATTCACGGCATGAAATAAAACAACATAAGCTCGAGAGTCAATAAAAGGTATTCCGATTATTTCATCTCATTGGTTTCGCAATGATGCGTGCAGCGAATAAGCGGAATAGGAGAGCAAACACCGATATGTTTAGAAACGCCAGACAACATTCGGAATAAATGTAAACGATAGAAAGAGCGCTTAAACTCAGTTCTGGAAAAGTTTGATCGAAGCTGCTATTACTTTGACTCAGACCTCCGTAAACTTACACTGCTTCCATTCGACACAAATGAAAGTTCTATTTTTTTTTTACCTTTCCAACAGTGGCGTGGAGTGAATTGCGATTTATAGATTATTATGCCATTTAAACCTATGGTACAGAATCGATTATTAAGGTGTTCGCTGCAAACACCCTGTTTATCGATCCTTTTCCATAGGTTTAAATGGCATAGTAATCGATAAATCGCAAAGCATGCCACGCCACTGCTTTTCAATCAATACGCCGTTTCGATGAAGAATAGCTTGAGGGAAATACGGATGCGTATACTGGTTAATTGAAAGAGTTGAGAGCAGGCCGCTTCTCTTATAAAAGAAAATATCCACCGCTATTCGAAAATTATCGGCGTACTTTCAGTTACTGAATTATACGTTGAAACTATAAGAACCATTAAATAGAACTCGACAAAAGAGTAGGGGCGAATCGTTTTCAGAAAGTTCTCACTTTTGCTCTTTGCACCTTTTTTAATAAGCTGAAATGCATGGAGCATTTGTATGCATTTTACTCAGATATTCATTGCATGCTTTTAGACAACTGATAGCTTTGTGGGAAAGAGTACTGGCATACACTTTTTTTCAACATCGCCGTGGGCTTAGAAAAGTAAGCGCATCAAATTTTGTGCAAAACTTAAGCAAAAGATTTTACCGCTGATCCTATTTAGAAGGATTGTATTGTCTCATGATTTACAACTTTCTCCTCTTTTCAAAAGGTTTCGGTTTTCGTCTGGTTCTTGACTTCGTTTTTCATACCATTCAATCAAACTGATTTCGGTCGACTGCCGTGCTAGGAAAAAACGCCGTAGGAACCTTCAAGCGTTGCCAAATTGCCTTTAGTAAAACACGAATTTTCGAGGAAATTTGTAAATATTTTCCCTCCAATTTTTCAGATAATTTTGTTTGCAATTTCACCGAAACTTCCTGAAAATTTCAAGAAAAAATATTCGTAACTTTCTTCAAAAATAACTATTTTATGAGAGGATATTTGGCAACTCTCGAGTGATCATACGGCGTTCTTCCTTAGCACGGCAGTAGAGCAGAATGTCTCTTCCAGCTCGCTCGTTGCCAGTAAGTATTCTTCTTATACGCACGCATAAATGTAAACAACAAAAAAAAATCCTCAGCAATTGCAAAAATTCCTGTTGAGTAAACTAAACTTTAAATTAAAAACTACTCGAAAAATTATTGAAACATACCCCTCATTGCCGGCTGTTGTATTTCTGCTCCTCCATCTTGTCATCCCAGCCCGGGCCATCCCGTTCTGCGACCTGCAAACATAATTCAACAATTCTTACAAAACGACGAAAAATCAGTGGTAAATTTCTTGATTTATTTCCCTTTAATGCCGCAAGTAACCATTTCTCGAATGGAAACCCTGGTAAAAATTGGCAGTAGAATCTGTGTTCCAAAATACCATAGACCTAAAGCCGGCTGTAAGATTTCCAATAGCTTCTGTAGCCGGCTGTACAATTTTTTATAGCCGATGGCGATCAAGCAACAGCCAGACGATAAAGTTTATGCTAAACGTTACTAAATACGGATACTAGGACTTAGTTAGTTTGTGGACTACCGCTCTCTGTTTGCGCCGAAGTATCTTTGGTTTATTTTGCGAGGAAAGCACCGTACTTTTGAAGGATGCCTGTCATTCTTAATATGTTGGAGCGCCTTCAATTTCTTATAATACTGTGAAATACCTCTGCTGTGAAATAGTTGCTTCAGACGCCGTGGCACGCTGCGGCGCGGCGCGCGGCGGGCCGGCAGAAAGCGCGAAACGCGCATTGGCGCCTACAAACCTAACAGGGATACTTCAAGCATTGCGCAATGCGAGAAGTATCCCTGTTAGGTTTGTAGGCGCCAGTGTGTCGCCGCTCCGCTTTGTGTTAGGCTCTTATATTTAAGCTCGCGGAGTCGGCGTTTTTCAACTCATGATTTAGAAATGTTTGCACACTCTGCATAGATTATTCTCATTTTAATTGATGAAAAAAATATGTTTTAAAGGAAAATATAATGTGTGTTAATTGTAAATATTGTAATTATTGTAATTCCGCATCAAACTTAATGATTTCCAAAGCACACGAATTTCTACGCAATTTCTTATAGCCTTTTATAGCCAATGGCGATAAAGTGTAAAGCCCGGCGATAGGGACTATAGCCCGACTATATACTTTTTTATAGCTTCGTACAGCCCGGCTATATGATTTGCTCTGCTTTCTACAGCCAGCTATATAATTTTCAATAGCCTTCTTTAGTCGGCTGTAAGAACTCTTATGGTATTTTGAAACGCAGCTCCTATCGCCAATTTTTACCAGCGAAGGAACAATGCAAAAGTTGGGGAAATGGGGCATTGAGTCTGATGAAGACACACAATGAAAACGGTGTTTTTATCATTTAAGTTCTGGCTGCGACTTACTGAATGGTATTGATTGATAAGACCATTTGTTCCATCGTTTCCGATCCATGAAGGTCGTTTTGACTATTAATGAATTACAATAATTACACCTTTTTCATTGCTTCGTGATTGGCGTTTCACTTTTCCATACAATAAAATGTTTGAGTACAATCGTTACTTGAGAATAGTCTTAAAATCCATGGATCCTCATTGGAGAACATGGTAAACTTATCAGTCACTGGTTTTAGTGTATATAGCAAAGATGAGCCTGCGAACTTACAACCTGTTAAAAATTATCGCAGAAACAAAAACCAAATTCTACACATATTTCGGACTGTAAACCTTCGTCAGCAGCAGCTGAAAAATCAGCTTATCGTAGGACATACACAGCATAGACTTCTAGTGTCCCTCTTCCATATGTATGGATAAGATTATTTAAACAAAGGTCTGCACCCTGAGCAGATATGTATGGCCAAATTTAGAACCCGTAAAGTGAAAACAGAGGTAAATTCAAAACGGAAGTTAAGTGGCAGGGTAGAGTGAGTGTTATAGGATAGACATTATTGAAGCGCGCGCGAAGTGGCTTATGTACCTACATGCGAACGTGTCATGCCTGATTTAGCGCAATTTCACAAAAATTGTTGAGATTTCAGAAATTTTTGATTAGCGACTACCACTAAAAAGTGGATGTAATAGCAAGTTCAGTTAGTCATTAGAGATTAGTTTTGAACCGTTGACTGTACAATTTACCGAACAGTAAAGTAGTGTGCTACCCTCAGACTGACTATAGTCCCTTTATACTGAGAGTCAAGACAACACCCCCTCACGGAGTCACAAACGGTAATAAAGATTACACAAATTGAACGTTTTTCGTAATCTTTGATCGGCCCATTCTCAAATTCCTTTCTCCGCTCCTTCTCTCATTCCGTTTGTTCCTTGCCGAACCTGTAATACCCTGGTCCATTCCAGATTATAATCTTTGCAATCGGTGAAAATGTAATCTTTATTCCCGTTTGTGACACTGTGAAGGCTTAAAATACGGGAACCAATCAGAAATGGATTCACATTGTCTTGACTCTCAGTATGAAGGGACTCTCAGACTGACAATCGGGCTACAAACGGTCTCCGCACGTATTTTCCATCAAACGGCAACAATGTAGAGCTGCGAACGTTTCGGAACGAACCGCGCATTCAAAAGGATCAATCTAGCAGAAAAGTGAGACTCGTAAAAATGTAAGCTCCATAAACAACTACACTCTTTGAGAACGCATACTACATCATGGATTTTGGCGTTACTCAGAAGCGCGCAATTTGCGTTCTCCTCGTTGAAGGCGAGAGCGAACGCTCGGATGCCCGAGGCGAAAGGGTTTTCACTGGAAAAAAAAAACACGCGTGACATGGTCATAACTGGAGCAATATCCACGAGCATGCATGACCAGTTACCGCTCTTACGAGCACTAATGATGCAGCGCTGTAAAACCCTTTAAAAATGAGTCGTCTCTCGTTCGTCATATATTTTCCAGGTGCTCTCCTCAATTTTCCCGGGTTGCTAGACATAAGATGAGAAAGTATACCCTGACTGTTCCATAAGTTTTTTGCTTCATATTCAGGGGATTTTGTGCAGCAAAGAGCAAAACCGCACGTACCTCCGTTTGCGACGTTGTAATTTTCTGTCATGCTTTATTTTTTCTTCTGAAAACTAGTTGATTCAATTTGATAAAAACTTTGTTGATTCTTTTTATCTGTTAGCTGCATATCCTGCATACATTTCAAACTATACAGTTGCCTTGTTCCTCTTTGAAAAAATAGAATAGGAGTGGCAACTTTGAAACACCGCAATAAAGATACGTGATTTCGCTAATTGCAAATCGCTACAGAAAATTGCTTATAGTTTAAGCAACACATGGTGGGAAATGAGCATTACTTGATTGAAGCTCGCTGAAAATGTTGTAGTGCGCGATTTGACTCACGTAGAGCTTTGAGTTTCTTGTGCGCGGGCAGTTCAAATTCCTCGTAACCAATGTAAAATAAAAAGGTTAATATCTTCGTTAGGAGTTGATCTCAGTAATTTTTGTTGCTTGAATCGTGTTTTGCGTGGAATTCTGATTAAGAAACATGTATCAGATTGCTTAAATTCGTACCTTGTCTAGTGGTCCATTGTACAAGCTTGCTGGTCGCCTGGAAAAACGACCCATAAAAAAGGCGCTTAATTGTTACGAAGCATAAATGGACGTATTTATGCTAAAAGGAGATATGTGCAAGTGGAAAGATGGGGTGTGCTCGTTAGTTGGGTCATAAGAAACAATGTAAAAGTGGATATAGCTCCTTTTGAGAAAATTGAAAAGCGGGATTTGACATTAAATCAAAAGGAGCTAAGCGCCAAAATATGCTAACTCATGAGCCGCGGGCATGGCAAGAGAGCGTTGTGGACAGGGCTCACGAGTTACAGCGCCCCGACGACCATCTCCCCGTCGTTAGAGTGCGCACTCATTGCCGCTGACGTCACTGGCGCTTTATATTCCCCATTCATTCTTATGGCCCGACCACTAACGAGCACACCCCATCTTTCCACTTCCACATATCTCCTTTTCGCATAAATACGTCCAAATNCAGGTGCTCTCCTCAATTTTCCCGGGTTGCTAGACATACGATGAGAAAGTATACCCTAACTTTTCCATAAGTTTCTGCTTCATATTCAGGCACTGGAAAAGAAAACATGTTGGATCTTGAGTCCAGACTCTCGAGAGCATTGACGAGAAAAAATACTCTTGATTCAATCGGATTTTTGCTTGAATCAAAACGAAATCCGCTTGAATTAAGAGGCTCGGTTTTTTATTTAAGCTAGATTCTGATCGAATCCAGAGAACTTTTTCTTGTCGATGTTTTTAAGAGTCTGGGCTCTAGATAAAATGTGTTTTTTTCTTCCAGTGCTCATATGGCGTATTACCTCAGCACACAGAGTTTCCCTCAATGGACAACTAGACAAGGTACGGATTTCAGCATTCTGATTCAGCTTTCTGGACCAAAATTTCACTCAAACCACGATGCGCACAACGAAAATTACCGAAATCAACTCCTTATGAAGATATTAGATGATTCTTGATGCGTAAATTCAGACCACCTGCTCATGAAAACTCAATGCTCTACGTGGTTCACATCGGGCGCTAAACGTTATCATGACAGTCTCGGCGCAATGAAAATCTGGCAACCTCAATCTTGACGCTTTGGCTCAGCTATAGCAAATTGCTTATAGTTTAAGCAACACATGGTGGGAAATGAGCATTACTTGATTGAGAAGCTCGCTGAAAATGTTGTAGTGCGCGATTTGACTCACGTAGAGCTTTGAGTTTCTTGTGCGCGGGCAGTTCAAATTCCTCGTAACCAATGTAAAATAAAAAGGTTAATACCTTCGTTAGGAGTTGATCTCAGTAATTTTTGTTGCTTGAATCGTGTTTTGCGTGGAATTCTGATTAAGAAACATGTATCAGATTGCTTAAATTCGTACCTCGTCTAGTGGCCCATTGTACAAGCTTGCTATTCGCCTAGAAAAACGACCGATAAAAAAGGCGCTTAATTGTTACGAAGCATAATGAGAACTTCTGCACTCTGAGAGAGGCTAAAAGAAGGAATCAATTTACCCCCGAGTCCCAAAATTCGCTCCATTACTTTTAATCTGGCTCACCGCTAAGGAACAGATTCGTTTATCTAATGATAGCGGAGGGATCGCGGAGGATTTCGGCTCTTTCGGCGCGTTCTTGGATCGGATCCAAAAGGCCAACAACAAAAAAGCCGAGAGAGACGGAAAAACGGCCGGCGTCCGGGCGCGAGCGGGACAGAGAACTTGATTAGAGCAATAACGCCACGCAGGAAGGAGAGAGC